ATGGTCACTAAGCTACCACGGGTTGAACATTTATATTTTTTATATAAATTAATTATAAAAAATATAATAAATATATTTTTAACTTATATCATAAAAATTCATGATAAAAAGATCCTTTTACATTTTAGGTTTAAATTCATTAGTTGTTCTTGTTATTGGTATAAATGAAGAAGAAACTCTCTTTCAGAAGATACAGTAAATGCTGGGCTTAGGTTTATGCATATGGCTTTTTATGACAGCATTAAAATGAGCTGTTAAAGAAGTAGAAAAGAGAATAATTATGGAAGTTAATAAGTTCGTGATATTTTTCCTAAAAATACATATTATTAACTGATATATGAAAATCAAGTTTATAATTTCTATGAAAATGCATTACCGAAGACCAACTAATATTCCACGCTAAACAAAAGTGAAGCAATTGCGTAAATTAGCATCTATGCGTCAATATTGTTTTGTATCTGTCAAACTGCAATAAATCTTTTGTCAATGAAATGGTATATATTTTCAATGCACAATTTGACGGAACCTCCGATGGATGCACGTGAAATTTCCTCCACACTTTCCTTTGGTTGTTGAAGACTTTTTTAGCGACTAGCTAGTGTCGTATCCAATACTCTAATGCTCTCAATTAATGACTTGTATGGATAGTTAGATATTCAGTTGACCGTGATTGCAAATTAGCGAGGTAAATGAACCAATGTTTTCAAACTTAAACCTATATATCCTGCTACAATTTTAAAATTAAATATTTTTTGTTTTTAATTATTACAAGTTTAAAGAATTACGATTTACATGTGTTAATTATTTTAGCTCCTATTTTTTTTTATCTTTTTTCTATGATTATTTTTTTAATTTTATTTTTTAGGTTTAATATTCGATAATTGTTCGTTATTCCTATAAATAAAGAAATTATTTCAGAAGATTTAAAAAATATAATTACTAAGATTAAATTAAAATTTGTCACAACCTTTTTATATGATACTGTAACAAATTTAAGAGAAGTTGTTGAAGAAGTAGAAAAGAGAATGGTTATGAAAATCAAGTTCATAATTTCTCTGAAAATACTTATTAACAATTGATATATAAAAGTTAAGTTCATAATTTTCATAAAAATACATATTGGAGACCAACTCATATTTAAAGCTAAATAGAAGTGAAGCAAAAGGCGTAAATTAGGCCAAAGTCCCACAGGTTAATGCTCACTCATCAACAATTGCACATTTAACTGTCTCCCCTCAAAACTCATTTAAGGGTCGATCAGATTCTCTTTATAAAATAGTGATCTAAGTTTTGGTTTTTGTTTTTTGTTTTTTGTTTTTTTTTTTTTTTTTTTTTTTTCGGGTTTGAGAGATAACTCTCCCCGTGGAGACACAATATATTTTAAATGGATGAAAAAAAATTAACAATTCATAAATAATCACTAAAATGGGTTAGTATTTTATTGATTTGACAAACACATCTTATCCCATCTCGTGATACACCACATTCATTCTTTTTCTTTTTTTTTTATTGACACGTGCTAAGTGCGAACTTAATTTGGTCTTCGTCAAATTTTCTAAACAGCGGTAGATTCAAAATTGAGTTCTTCTTTTATATTTAAAATATAAGTTTAAAATATTTTTAAAAATATTAATTATTATTAAAAATATAAAATTTAATATTTATTTAATTAATTATCAAATGAAAATAATATATATAGTATTAATAATAAAATTAATGTTAATTTTTATTATTTTTATGTTAATTAATATTAAAAAATATATTAATTACACTTTTAGATTAATCATTTAAAATTTTAAATTCTATTTGACAAAAAAATCTATAAATTATTTCAACAAAGCTTCCAAGCGCCCGACTCGAGAAGCATGCGTATGTTTTTTTAAGGTTCATATTCAGGGAAGGTGTGCTTAGCTAACCTTCCCTAATTAAAATGTCACCCGAATTGCTCGGACCTAGAAGCATAATTAATGGATTTCAAAGTCCTTATGAATGAAATCATAAAGAATTCAATATCTTATGGTATGCAGATATACTTAATTATTAACACAGATCAAAGCCGAGTAATTAACAGCTGCAGTTTAGGCTGTTGCCGCTGTTCCGATCAAAATGGCTGTGAATTTTGCAAAACGAAAAATGGTAACTGTGCTGAGTATTGATGGGGGTGGAGTCAAAGGCCTGATTCCCGGCACCCTCCTCGCCTGTCTCGAATCCAAGCTTCAGGTAAGTTCCCGACAATATTAGTTTTTCCCCCTTTTAATTAATTTTCTTTTGACTTATTTTTTCTTCTTTCAGGAATTGGATGGACCAAATGCGAGGATTGCGGACTATTTTGATGTTATTGCAGGAACAAGCACTGGGGGGTTGCTAACCACCATGCTTACAGCTCCAAATAAGGAAAATAGACCCATGTATGCCGGAGAGGACCTTATTAACTTCTATTTCGACCACTCTCCGAAGATATTCCCCCAGAAAAGGTATGTTACATACTAGCTATTTTAGCTATTTCTGCTGCCTGTGCCAAAGTAAGGATGTTGTATCCTTTGCCTTCGAGTGCATAAACTCACCGTCGGACCAGGGACGGAGCCAATGAAGGACGCCAAAGGGGGGGTGGGGGTATCCGTTCCCCCCCTAAGCTTTTGAAAAACATTTAATATGGTACTATAACTTTTATTTGTTAAGAATTTTGTTTTTCTAGTATGAATTTCAATGATCATTTTAAACGTAGAGAAAATATTTAGAACCTAAATTAAAGTTTTCAAAAAAACAGGGATATATTCAAGTAAAGTGAATTTATGTCGATTAATTAATTAAGAATTATGGTTTTAAAATATTTTTTATCTGTTTAGCTCTAAAAAAACTTTAATTATTTATTTAAATAACTTTAAATTT